TGGGAAAATGAAATAAAATGTAGAATAGTTTGATGCCCGTGAATAGTCTGATGCCCAATGCGTATTTATAAATTATTGTTTAAGAATTTATCAAAGTATCATTCGTTATCCTGACATATATCAATGCAAGATAGATTATCAATTTTTTCATAAAAGTAAATACTTCAAAAATGCATAACTATAACATGTGGCAGAAATGTTGGATTAACTGGTGTAACAGCAATTTTAGAGGGAAGCACCCTCACGTATATTACTAGATAGTATCCTAATAAGCATATTTTTTGCAACATAAAACCCTTGAAATTGGCGTGATTCATGCTTCCTCTTTTTTGCACTTCCACCAGAAATGAATTCTTGATTTGATCTAGTCCCCTGGTGTGCTTCACTGCAATTTTAGTGCCTTGGCACAATTAACCTTGAAAAACAGAACCAAATCCTCCTCCACTTAGAAATGATAATAGCCATAGTTTTTCATATGTGTTGAATATATACTGTAAATTAGGTATAATATAAATTAGGTGTATTGTTTAATCAATGCCCAATGCGTGATTCTAATTAATTGACCAAAGTTCATATTAAATTTTATATTATTTTTTTTAATACACTCTAACATATTCATAGTATATGTTTAACAATTATGTCAGTTTTGATTGGATGAGGTTCGAACCTAAGACCTTACTTATGAAATTCAATGAGTAAGTTAAGAATAATAAATAATTAACATAATTCCATTACTAAAGTTTACCCTGACGAAATATAAGGGTATTTAGGAAAAGTAGATGATATAATAGATGGTATAATAGGAAAAAAATATTTTTTAAAAAAATACTAAAATCAAAATAATATGAACCATTCATTTCAACCAACAATTACTCCAACATTTTTTAGTTGTGGTTAGGGACCTAACTTCATTGGCTCTTATTAGGTTTGTACATTGTAGATAAAGCGAAATGGTCCTACGTGTTCGGTGGTAATTTTTACATGTATATCACACTAATTTAAGGATATAAACATGTAAGGATGTCAAAAAGGCATGTTTGTGTTTGAAGGAGGAATTTAAAATGAAAGACTTGGGAAAAACCAAGTTCTGTCTCGGCATGCAGATCGAGCACCTCCCTGAAAGGATTTTCATACATCAATCCAAATACACAAACAAATTATTGGAGAGATTCTATATGGATAAGTCTCATCTACTTAATACTCCATGGGTGGTTCGATCACTTGAAGTTGATAAGGACCCATACAGGCCAAAAGAGGATAACGAAGGATATTCTATGACTAGAAGTCCCTTACCTAAAGTGCTACTGGAGCACTTCTCTACCTTTCTAATTGCACTAGACATGACATTGCATTTTCAGTAAATATGTTAGCTCGGTTTAGTGTTGCTCCAACCATAAGACATTGGATTGACATAAAACATATCCTCAGATATCTACAAGGAACAAAGGATCTTGGGCTTCTATTTCAAAGACACCAAGACACCACATTAGTGGGATATTAATATGCTGGTTATATGTCCGGTCCACATAATGCTAGATCCTAGACCGGATATGTGTTCCTTTATGGAGGTACTGCTATCTCATAGAAATATGTTAAACAGACACTAGTAGCTACCTCATCGAATCACTCTAAAATCATTGCTTTGTATGAGACCTCAAAAGAATGTGTATGGTTAGGTCACTAATACATAATATGTTGGACAAAGGTAATAATGAATGTCCTCAATTAACTTTTTCTTAAAAAGAAAAGACATTATGAAAGTAGCTAGGTGAAAATTTACCAGAGTTGAACTCATGTTCTGTAGTTGAGATTGACATCTGCTTATCAATATAGAAATTTCGTTGAGCAGGAGTGAAAATTAAAATAATCCAGCAAAAGGGTCAAATAAGCTCATCTATTACTCACAAGTGCTAAATTAGCGTACTCATTGGTCTAAAATAAGAGCAAATTTTATACATAAATTGCCTAAAATCTTGCATTCACCATTTTTTCAGGTTACATCCGGTTTTGATGACATGGCCTCCGCCGTCAGGTTGAGCTAATGTGGCTGGCAAAATAATTTTTTGTTGGCATGACGTTGTAGGTCCCGGTAGGGTCGAATGAGAGTCTATAGGGGGGGGGGGGGGGGGAGTGAATAGATTCTACTCCAAAATTTTATGCACAGCGGAAAAATGTGAATTGATTTTAAAATGTTACTTGCACGATTTTGTAATGGAAAAACTTAGCGTTTGATTGGTATGAATGCAATGCCAGATAGATCGATAAACGAAAGTAAAGAGAGAGTGAGAGTGAGGTTTTTATAGTAGTTCGGCTATTAACGAAGCCTACTCTACTCTTCTTTTACAACTTGTGAAAGGGTATGCACTAACAAGCTAGCTTCCTTGATCACTAAGCCGGAGCCCATGTGCTCCATCTCAACTAAAAGCTTAAGCTCACGTGTGCGGTGGGTTCCAAGCAACACGTGGACTGGTAAACCGTAGTCGCTTACGAGTGGCGCTGAGATTCGAACCCATGATAAGCTTACATGTGCGGTGGGTTTCAAGCAACACGTGGACCTGTAAACCATAGTCGCTTACGAGTGGCGCTGAGATTCGAACCCATGACCTTGGGTCTGGCTCTGATACCAAATTGAAGCATGTGTTCCATCTCAACTAAAAACTTAAGCTTATAGTTGGATTGCACAGTAATGACTATATGCTCACACGCCAAATTAAAGCGTGTGCTCCATCTCAACTAAAAGCCTAAGCTTATAGTTGGATTGCACAGTAATGGCTATATGCTCACACGCCAAATTGAAGCGTGTGCTCCATCCCAACTAAAAGCCTAAGCTGATAATTGGATACACATTAATGGCTATATGCTCATACGCCCCCTCACGCCTAAGCTGATAGTTGGATACACATTAATGGCTATATGCTCATATGCCCCCTCACGTGTGCGGTGGGTTCCAAGCAACACGTGGACCGGTAAACCATAGTCGCTTACAGGTGGCGTTGAGATTCAAACCCATGACCTTTGGTCTAGTTCTGATACCAAATTGAAGCATGTGCTCCATCTCAACTACAAGCTTAAGCTTATAGTTGGATTGCACAGTAATGGCTATATGCTCACACTATCAACGTCTTCTTCAGAGTTGAGGGTTGGAAAGAATTGATGATGTTCTCCAACTAATGGAATCTTGACTTGATGATGCTTGAATCTTCAAATAAAAGTTGCAAGATTTCCTTGTGTTGTGAAGGCTAGAAGTCTAGATGATCTCTTTGAAAAACTTCACAACAACACACTGGTTTTGAAAGCTTTTGGATGGTACTTGTTAACAAAGCTTTTGTAGATAAAGATTGAGTGAAAAACCAGCACCTTCTTCAGTGGTGAAGAGGGGTATTTATAGGTGAGGGAAATCCATCCGTTGGAGGGAGATGAGAATTTCAAACCTATTAACCAGCGTGTAAAGATCACTGGGCTTGGAGCATTTAATGCGGCTGTACTGTGTAGCTGTTGGCACAAAAAGTTGCTTGTCTTTTTGTCCTTTCCCACTGACAAAGGTAAAAATCATTTAATGCTCCTTGGTATTTGAAAAAATTCATTCCTTGGACTCCTTTTGTCTAGGATGATTGCCCAGTTGTAAGACATAGACAAACATTCTTTTGTGTTTTCATGTAGAAGTTGTCTATTCAAGTCTGTGTTAGACTTTAAGTCTTGGAAATAGTTAACGAAAGATTGTCCTTATCTTTCGTTTTCTCTTCAAGTCAAATGATTTCTTGATCATTTGTTGTTCACACGAGAGTTAGACCCTTCCATCTTTCGGTCTTAGTTATTCTCTGGGCCTTCTCTTGATCTTCTTCTCTTCAAGTAGACCTAATTCTCTAAATACAACTCTGATTCGTGTAAATGTGCTACTAAGCACAAATCACATGGTGAGTTGTGACTACTTTTGTCTAACACGAAAGATACAAAATGAAGAGAGCAAAAAGAGGGGTCTATATTCCTAGTAAGTTTGGTATCATCAAAATCTAAACACACTTGTTCCTAACCGGCGTCCAGCAAAATAATATTTTGCTTCATACACCGAATCGTGATTTTTCCACTTTTCAGTGGCTCCAATTCCACCGGAAGGTGAAATTATAATATAATTCCACCTTTCGGTACGGTGGATTTACTTCAATCTACCGAAAAGGTGGATTTTCGGTGAATATAATTCCACCTTCCAGTGGAATTCCTTCAAACGACCGAAAAGTCGAAGATGGGTTTGAGAAGACGAAGCTGAAGAAAGAAGTCCAAGATGATTTTAAGAAGACAAAGTTTAAGAGAGAAGTTAAAGATGAAGAACATACTAATAGGTCGAGTTTTCTTTATTTTAATTTATAGCCTTAATAAATTTCATGTCAACAAGTCATGGACCTTGTGGTCCAATGGCACCGAGTTGCTAAACAATTGTTATTGTGTGGACCATGGACCATATTTTGTACACAGTAAAATAATGTACATTCAGTACAAAAATAAAGTACATTCAGTACAAAAATAATGTACATTGTATTCAGGGGATGTGCATTATTTTTGTACTGAGTGTACTATACATTATATTGTATAATGTGCATACAGTACAAAAATAATATACATTTAGTATATTAAAAATGTACCTTTTGTTATGGTCCACATAACACTGTGTGGACTATGGTCCACACAAAAATTTGTCCTCCTTTATATGGGAGGTTGTGGGTTTGAAAAAATAGTTATGAACAGATACTACATTGTAACCAAGTCAATAGTATTCAAAAAAAAAAAAAAAAATTCATGTCAACAACTTTTTTTTAATTAAATTTCCATATGAGTTTAATATGAATTGGCAATCTGATAAAACCTGGAAAAAATGGTAAATAAAAGAATAATAGGAAGTTTATGCATCAAATTAATTCTTATTTTAGACCAAAAAGTTAATTAAGCATTTGTGAGTAGTAGATGAGCCAATTTGACAATATTCAGCCAAACAATCCATACATGTATTCTAATCAATAACTCAATCAGTTTATTCCATTAAAATCCATTCCAAGTAAATATAAAAAGATACAATATATGTGTTTAAGTATCAATGATTCTAACATAAGAACGCCAGAAATAGGCGGTTTATAAAATTAATACTACAAAAAGTATTAATATGAATATGTATTACGAATCCAATTATGAAGCTAAGGAAAATCCATCCTAAGTTTGGATCATTAGTTGTTGTTGTACCAGAATTGTGATTGGAGGTAGTTAATCACATTCTTGTCCACTTGGAATGCTTTAGTCAAAACATTTGGACTGATTGGTGGATCTGATCCGAAAACAGCGTTGGCAATAGTAATGACTCCTGGATTTTGACTGCTTAGGCCAGCAAAAGCTATGGCTTTTGAATGTCCAATGTTGAATTGGAAATGAATGAGACCTTCTGGGAATACGAAAACATCTCCGGGATATAATGTCTTGGTAAAGAGCTTGTTCTTCATTCCTGGCGCCGGATTAGAAAGGACGAACCCAACGTAGAGGGTGCCTTCCAAGACTGTAAGGACTTCAGTTGCACGAGGGTGCGTGTGGGGAGGGTTGAGGCCGTAGGGCTCAAAATCAATACGAGCTAATGAAATGCCGAGTGTGTTAAGTCCTGCTAGATTATTGACATTCACAGCTGAGACGGCTGATCCAAGTGGATTTGATGTGTTTCCAGGCTTGTTAAGACCTTGGAAGAGGAAATCATCAGCATCAACTTCCATTGGGTTCTTGCAAATCTTTCCGTTAACAAACACTGCATATATAGTCGCAAGAGAATTGAAACAAAAGTCACAAACATTAATTGTTGACTGAAAATTAAGTTAAATAATATAATGTAGACAAGATTTTTGATTGATATGATAGGGTACATACCAGCAGCCTTGGAGTCTTTAACAGCAACACAAAAATCCTGCAAAGAACTAGGATCTGATGCTTCTGCAAATGAAGATGCCAATGCCAAAACCGCAGCGGCAATGATAAGTAATCTAAGAGCCATTTTAAACTGAGAATATAAATGCAGTTAAGCTAAGAGACGATGTTAGAATGGATTAGAGAAAGAGGGAGGGGTGGTGGGTATTTATAGATATGTTTATTGGGGTTTAATTTGAAGCAGTATGACACCGTGTTGCGTGCACAATATTATATGAAGACTAGCTAGGACTGCTTCAATTCCTCAAGTATTATATGATTTTTTTTTTATATAATTATCAAAGTTGCATTTCAACAACTACAAGTTAGCCAAGTCAAATATATAGTTTGATTTAATCTTCATTATCTCATCTATTATTCCAAGTTTAGTATTAGTATAGCCAAAACTCAAAAGAACAGGTAACAATTAGGCTTTAATTTGGTCCACCAAATAAAATAATAATCATTTGAATGGATCAAGGAAAACACCAACCTTAACTAAAACGGAGTATAATTAATCTAATTTCGAAGGGAACCAGTTCATATTCATTTCCAAGATTTTGTCAAGATGGATAAGGACGTACACTGACCGAATCAAATGCATTTCAATCCTTTATTGAACCATGCATAGACACTAAAAATTGGCTTCCAATAAATTGACATAAAGTTTGGAGTGCTAAATGGTAAAAACGATTGTTTGAGATTAAATTTGGAAATGTCACTAAAGACAATGGACTTTCTTTGAAATAAACTCATTGTGAAATTTACTTTTTTTTAAGAAACGAAAATACCCTTGTCTAACATAGGGTTTCACGGGAGAAGTCATCGAAAGGACCAAAAGTGTCCAAAATATGTTAGTCTAGGTTGTTTGTTAGGAATAAATGTATTTAGATTTTGATGATACCAAGTCTTTAGGAAGTTAGACCCCTATTTTTCTTTTGTTTCTTTTATCTTTCGTTGATTAACGAAATGGGTCTGTAACTTAGAGAACGACTCGTGTTCAGCCGAAAGAAAACACGAGTCATGCTTTTGAAGAAGAAGAAGAGAAGATCAAGAGAAGCCCGAGAGAACAACCTAGACCGAAAGATGGAAGGGTCTAACTCTCGTGTAAACATAAAATGATAAGGAATATCATTTGATTTGAAGACAAAAGATAAGGACAATCTTTCGTTACTTGATCCCGAGACTGAGAGTCAAAGTCAGACTTGAAAAGACAACTTCTACATGATAATACAGAAGTATATTTGTCAAAGTCTCATAGCTGGGCAAATCATCCTAGACAAAATGAGTCATAGGAATGATATTTTCAAAAATCAAGGAGCATTAAATGATTGGTACTTTTGTCAGTAGAAAAAGACAAAAAGACAAACAACTTTTTGTTGCCAACAGCTACACAGTACACTGCATTAAATGCTCCAAGCTCAGTGGTCTTTACACGCTGGCCAATAGGTTTGAATCTCCATCTCCCTCCAACGGATGGATTTTGTTCTCCTATGAATACCTCTCTTCTCCATTTGAAGAAGGTGCTGGTTTTTCACTCGATTATTATCTACAAAAGCTTTTCAACAAGTATCATCCTAAAGCTTTCAAAACCAGTGTATTGTTGTGAAGCATTTTCAAAAAGATCATCTAGACTTCAAGTCTTCACAACACAAGGAAATCTTGCAACTTATATTTGAAGATTCAAGCAACATCAAGACAAGATTTCACAAGTTGGAGAATATTGTTATTTCTTTCCAACCCTCAACTCTGAAGAAGACGTTGATAGAGGCGGAGTAAACTCTAGGAGTTGAAAAACCTACGCAAGTAGCTGTCTAGCTTAGTGATCAAGGAAGCTAGCTTGTTTAGTTTGTACTAGGAGTGATAGTGCAAACCCTTTCACAAGTTGTGAAAGAAGAGTGGAGTAGGCTTTGTTAATAGCCGAACCACTATAAAAATCTCTCTCTCACTCTCTCTTTACTTTCGGTTATTTATTTGCCTTGCATTGCATCCATATTGATCAAACCATAATTTTCATAACGAAAGCGTGTAAAGAATATTCTAAAACGAACTCACATACTTTTCGCTGTGCGTTACTCCCCGAGAGTTGTTTTCAAAAATTCGAGTAGAGTTTATTCACCCCTCCCCCCTTCTCCCCCTCTAGACTCTCTTTCGACCCTACTGGGACCAACAATGTTAAATAGAAAAGACGATAGTTTGTAACTAAATTTAAAATTGTCAACAAAGACAAGGGACCTCTACTAGAATTAACTATTTTTTTAACATGTGAGGGAATCGGGATATTGTTGTAATGCAATAATATAATATTTTTTTTTGGTAACCTAGGTTTCACGGCTTTTTTGAACTATATTAGGAATCCATAAATTTGTCTCTAGGCCCATGAGGAAGTAAATTGAGTCAATCTAGCTAGTTTCGAGATTTAACACCAAACTGTATACTTATATATGCACAATGAATCCAATCCAAACCCAAATCCCCAATATTTGTAGTGGATAGGAATCCAACATCCACCCTACCACTGAAAGCAGTCTTAAGTGAGAATTCTTATTCATTAAAGTTCTGATAATATATTATTCATTGTATTAGCAGACCACACAAAATGGCTGGCTAAGGTCGTTTATAGTTAAATTTGTTTGCCTAGATTATTAAAAATGTATAGTTTTGAAGAATCTTTGACGTCGGGGGACTAGAGATTTGCTTTCGGAGATTAAAGTGAAGTATTCAATTAAAGAGATTTAACCAGAATGATGATAAACAAATATAGCGAATAACACCTGGCTAAATGTTGGGGAAGGCCGGCAAATTAAAGAGGTAAGTCCAGCAAATCCAGGACCCTGTTTACCTCTCGAAATATGATGGCGGCATATAAAGAAATAAAATTGTGCATTTGTTATGAGATATAACTTTTGGTATAGTAATAAATACTTGATCTTAAAAAGTTCTATTCGAGTCATCAGGTCACGGGTTCGAGGTCCAATAATAGAACCCCCAACAACTATGCGTCACGGGTTTGACTCCCAATACAGATCCCCCCCCCCCCCCCCCCCCCCCCCCCTCCCTTAAATGACTTTTGGTATTTGGGAAAATCTTTGTTGCTATTTCCGACTACTTTTTACTTTCGACCTGATTTAAGATAACTTTTAGGTGGACGGAAATTTCATAATTTCCAGCAATGATATGAGCCCGTGTACGTTTTAGAAATGTTATTTAATTGGCAATTATTTTGAGGGAAAATAAATGAACAACTAAATAAAATAAATTGAAAATAAAACACAAAATACACACAATCCACATGCATGTACGCACCAATTAACAACTCAAATCAAATAATTTATTCCATTACAATCCACTCAAGGTGAAACTAACAAGATACAAAATATAAAAGTTAAAATATCAATCCAACATGAGAGCGCCAGAAATAGGGTACTTTATCAAATAATGAAGGAAAATCCTTGGTCAGTATTATCAGCATTGATTCGGTTCACTAGTTGTTGTTGTACCAGAATTGTGATTGAAGGTAGTTAATCACATTCTTGTCCACTTGGAATGCTTTAGTCAAAACATTTGGATTGATTGGTGGATCCGAACCAAAAACGGCATTGGCAATAGTAATGACTCCAGGGTTTTGACTGCTCAAGCCAGCAAAAGCAATGGCTTTTGAATGTCCGATGTTGAATTGGAAATGAATGAGACCTTCTGGGAATACGAAAACATCGCCTGCGTTAAGTACTTTGGTAAAGAGTTTGTTCTTCATTCCTGGTGCTGGATTAGAAAGGACAAATCCAACATAGAGGGTGCCTTCCAAGACTGTGAGGACTTCGGTTGCACGAGGGTGGGTGTGGGGAGGGTTGAGGCCGTAGGGCTCAAAATCAATACGAGCAAGTGAAATACCAAGAGTGTTCAGTCCTGGTAGATTATTTACGTTCACAGGTGAGACAGCTGATCCAAGTGGATTTGATGTGTTCCCGGGCTTGTTAAGGCCTCGGAAGAGGAAATCATCAACATTAACTTCCATTGGGTTCTTGCAAATCTTTCCATTAACAAACACTGCAATACAACAAGAAACAAAAGTAATTAAGTCACAAACATTGTTGCTGTAAAGTGAACCACACGCTTTAATTTGAATTGTGTTAGTTATGGTACATACCGGCAGCCTTGGAGTCATTAACAGCAACACAAAAATCCTGCAAAGGGCTAGGATCTGATGCTTGTGCAGATGAAGATGCCAATGCCAAAACGGCAATGGCAACTATAAGTAATCTAAGACCCATTTTAATTAGTTAGTAGAGAAGGATATGCAGTTAAGAGATGGAAGCTAAGGTGAAATGGATGTAATAATTTGTGGAAGTGATGATTAGAGAAAGGGGAAGGGGTGGTATTTATAGATAAGTTGAGTTTGAATGAGTTAATTAATTAATGACCATGCATGCATGTGTTGCCTGCAAATCAGGACTGGCTGGACTGCTTCAATAATTGTCTACTCCCTCAGGTATTATATGCTTTAAATTAACTTTTCAAACTCTCATTTCATCAACTACAAGCTAAGCTAAGTCAATTGGTTTGATTTAGTCTTCATTATCTCAACTATTATTATCATATGTAACAGTATGCTTTTGATATGTACAACTTATAGTCGTTGTAGATCAGTACTATTTTTTTTTTCCAGGTGTAGAAATTTTCTACTTATAATATAATACTAGTTACCATACCCGCATTGCGTGAATAGTCTGATGTTCAATGTGTATTTTTAAATTAGTGTTTCAGAATTTATCAAAGTACATATCATTCGGTATCCTGGCATATATCAATGCAAGATTATCAAATTTTTCATAAAAGTAAATATTTCAAGAATGAATAAATATGACCTATATTATGGCAGAAATGTTAGATTAACGGGTGCAATAGCAATTTTAGAGGGAAGAACTCTCTCGTATTGGATAGTAACCTAAGCATAATTTTTGCAACACAAAACCCTAGTTGGTGTGATCCATGCTTCCTCTTGTTGCCACTCCCGCCAGAAATGAATTCTTGATTTGATCTAGTTCCCTGCAGGGCCGGCCCTGGGGTAAGGGCAGGCTGGGCCCTTGCCCAAGGCTCATGCTTGGGGGAGGGCCCCATCCTATCTCTTATATATATAG